CGGCAAAACTCAAGCAGTTGATCGTGAATGGGCCGCAGAGAGCGATGTTCCTTCTCAGCCTGCAGCATCGTCAGTGCAATGCGTCGCTTGCCGGACTCGTCGTTGCGTGCAGTGGCAAATACGATCGGTAGGGTTTCCCTCATGCGTGAGCTGCGCTCTGGCCACGCACGCGCGACCCGCTCCGTCACTTTCCTAAATGCCCCCACGTGCTCCCGCAAATCAGTTGTCCAGAGATCATGCCCCCCCCCTGCCGTACCGCCCACCTCGGCCCCGTCTTCCCTCTTGTCAGTATGCTCGTGCTGCAACTTTTTGTTCCCTCGCCGCTGCTGCTGCTGCTGATTCCCTGTCTTCTTGGGCCCCACGGCACCGCCGTCACTCAGCGTAGATTTTTCTTCGGCTTTTGCCACGAAGCTCCGAGCGGCGCACACAATGATTCCAGCATCTCCTTGCATCAGCTCCTGCGCAACGCGGTCAGCGGCCTTTGACAGGCTTCGCTGCAGCAAGTAATTAATGAGGTGCACAAAACACGGAAGCGTTGACTCCTCCAGCGTCGCAAGCCACACAAACGACTCCTCCAATTCGCACACAAATCGCACCGTCACGCTGTGCACCGTCCACTGCACCAACCGCGCTATCCACGCCCATGCCAGCTGACCCTCCTCGTCGGATGGATTGCGATGCCTGACGGCCCACAGCATTACACTCAGCAAAAGCGGCCATTCCAACACCCCCTTCTTTGTGCTACTCATCGTGATATGGTGCAGCTTCGTCATGGATACCCCCTGCGACAGAGCGGACACGAGAAGTGAGCAGAGAGCAGATATGCTTGGCGCTGGCCAGTTGGTAAGCGCACCCTCACCCCGACGCAAGGCATCCTCAATAGGATGAACACACGCACGAAACGTAGGAAGAAACGACGGAACCGCACTCAGCCACGACATCCGCAAGTGAAATACCTCTGCATACAATTCCATCATAAGAAACATGCGTTGCGACAAAAATACAACCTTCTCTGCAGGGCCTTGTTTGACCTCGCCCTTTGAGTTGGACACGGTAATCATCATTGGGTGCAATTGTTGTGTCATACGGTGCCAAAACTCTTCCCGACGAGGAATAGCCTTCAATAAGGCGGCCTGCACTTTGGCATCAAATGTTTCCCACTCTTCGCGACTGCCCTCATCTTTTTCATCCTCCGATTGGACGTCCTGCAGCTTCGCCACGAGGTGTTGAATGGTTTTAGCACGTGTAAGAATTGCACAGGTCAACTGAATGGAAAACGAAAGCAACAACAAGTCACTGGATCCATTGATGAGGCGATGCACGTACTCCGCCACCCATACGGGGCATATCTCCTCAACCACACGCTCTGCGCTCATGGAGAAAAACATCGTCGCCCTCGCCTCCACCGTCTCCAGCCTTGCCTTACCGGCGGCAAGATGGTAGGGAATAGGCGTTAGCATGGCGCGTGTCATGGTGTTCAGCGTCGCCACCGCAGCGGTGGTGGTGGAAATGCGACTTGTGCCATCGTCGTCCCCCAGATGGCTTGAAACACGTGTGAAGAAGGGCCGAATCAGGTCCGGTGCCTGGTGAAGAATAAAAATCACCAGCCGTGCAGACGCTGGGGAACTCTTCGGGCGTAATTGCCGCAGAATGAAGAAAAGCAAATAGTTCGGCATCCCCCGGTCCTCTGCCTCAAGCCGCATCACTTGATAATCGCACGGGGACTCCACCAGCTCAACCACAATTCGGCGCAAGATGCTGGAGGCGTACTCGGACACCAATGCGTGGTCAACCGCCTTCACGAGCAGGCGGACGATGTTCTTCTGCGCCAACAGAACTGACCGCTTGCGTGCTGACGGCATACGCCCTTCCATGAAGAGTTCGCCAAACACGCGGAGGGCCGCACGAGCGAGGTTGACGCCGGTTTCTGTGCCCTCCTGCAGCAGCTCCGCGGCATCTTCCAGAAGATGAGTGAGGTACCCGTGGGCGCAGACCACAATCTCGACGGTGCTTGCGTGTGGGGTTGCGACGAGGTTGAGGAGAAACTGCACCCGCACCATTCGGATGCGCCGCTGTGAGTACGGCAGCTGCAAACGGAAACAGGAAAGCTGCAGCGGCACGGTGTTACCGAAGCGGGAGAGAACCAACTTGGGGAGGCTGATCGCCACGACCGCGAGGAACTGCAGGGCAGCCATCGTTACAGGCAACATCGCATCCGAGAGCGACGCCAGTCCCCGTCGCAGTACCCAGAACGCCTTGCCACGACACATCTCCCGCAGAACACTCGAGCGCACACCAGCGTTGTCGCACGCTTCCACCAGCTGTGTTACCGTCTGCAGCGCAGGCGCACACAACTCCCGCCGCTGCATCACCTCCTGCAGCGCTAAGAGCCCCTGCGGATGCAGCAGAAAAGCGGAGGCAAAAGCCCCATCCGTCGTCGCATGGCGGCGAATCTTCTCAAGGCCTTCCGTCACCGTGTCGGCGTACTTGGACAAGAGGTAGCCCACAAGCGGCTCGACTAGAGCCATTTTCCCTCAACAACACTCACACACGCGCGCACACACCCACAGACGCTCCTTAACGTACAAAGCCGCCAACGTCAAACGCCCTACGTATTCTTCGCACCGGCCTCAGCAAGTGCGGTGTAGATAGAGAAACACAGAGAGAGAGAGAGAGAAAGAGAAAGAAGGGGAAAAAAAAGAGCAATGAATGCCGTGAAGACCAACACGCCGCGCGAGAAAAGTGGCGACAATAATGATAGTAGACCAAGTGACACACACACGGACAAGCCGGGCGACCTCCTTTTCACTACTTGTACAGAACTGCAAAAACCAGTTCAGTGCATACACCTCCACTTCATCCTATACAAAACTATTGATGTACTGCGCTCTACTAATCTACATGTCAAAGATCGTTTGCGTCTCAGTGTTCACATAGTTATCGAAAGACCCTTCCGCCAGATGTTGCTCGTGTGAGCCTCTTAGCACGAAGACACGCCCGAGCCGGCAGGCGTCTTGGAGTAGTCGGCGCTCAACAATGATATCAAGTGTCCCATTGAGGACACCGGGTCGTGCGTACGTAAACACAAAGATCTGATACGTGTGCTCAGCGGAGCGCCCTACCGCAAAGGTACTGCCCGTACCGTGGCGTCACGAGGCCTCAGGCTTCTTCGCCACTATGTAGAGAGGATGCGACGCAACGTAGGTTTGCACCGCCGGCACCGCCATCATGAAAAACAACACTGTCCAGCCAATAAACAAACTCTTTATGGAAGACGTCATGACACTTGGCCCCAAACACTGACAGTTGAACATAAATGAGAAAAAAACAACGAAAAGTATGTCGTAGCAGGCAATTGGCGCACGACACCTCTCAAACAAACACCGCACAGTGTCACAAACGTGGCTCTGAAATAGCACTTCTCTTCTGCGCAAGTTGATACCCGGCAGGCAGATGGCACACAGTAGCAGCCGCAGTGTCCCGGTGTTGCTTGGGTATCCCTGCAAAAGAGGTAATGCCAACGCAATAAAGCAAGACCGTTGTCGTGAAAAAAAGGAGAGGTGTGGGAAAGCTGGGTTCAACGCAATTGCCCCATCATCGACACCAGCAAAACCAGAAGCAAACCAACCTCCTCCCGAAGTCACCTTCAAAGCCAACAATCCAAATAATAATAACAATAATAGTAACAACAGTAGTAAGAATAAGGCATGGCGCAACGTGCGCCCCGATAACTACACCTGCCCTCCCTTCGGTAGGAGGGCATCCACACTCTGTGCCTCATCAAACATCACGTCATAGACCTTCATATCCTTCATGTTCGTGAACTGCCTCAGCGAGCGCTCCACCAGCTCGTCCTGCAGGTGCTCTTTCCGTACCACACTAAGAATAAAGAGTTTCTTGGGCGGCGTTGGGTGCTCCCCCGGGAGTAGAAGACTGGTGGAGAGCACCAGTTTCTTGGGAAGGTTTGGATAAATCATGTACAGGCCGTTGCGGTACATGTGATAGACCAGGTACTTCTTCCATGAGGACTTGTAGTTCCAGTAGTTGCTTGTAGGATTCCGTGCGCCTTCCAAACGCCTTACCTTTATATCCTTTTCCTTTTCCTTCTCAAAGAACTCCCGAAACCTCCGCCAGGGCCCCGGGAGGTACACAGATCCCCAGCTGCAGGGTTGCTGTAAGAGAAAAGGGGCGTAGTTATTATTCACGTGGACACGTTTGTTGGATAGCTCATCGAAGATGGGCCGAAAGAGAGCGAGGCCAACAAAGCGGGGATCAGCCTCTATGGCGTTGTGGGCCCCGACCGGTGCGTACTGCCCGAGTGTGTCGTGTGCCCACGAGAACCAGTACGGCGACACTACCACATCATCCTCAAAGAAAGCGGCCACCTCAATTTCGCTTGTGGGCTGCCACGCCTCCATGATGGAGAGTCGAAGCCCGACATTGACCAACCGCTGGTGTATCTTATACCGACCGTGGATCCATATGAAGTTTCTAAGAAGCTGCAGGATGGCGGATTGGTTCTGTTGCATCTGAGGAGTATCATTTCGCCTGTAATCCACAAACACTTCCAAGTCAACTGAGCTGGCAGACGCCTTGGAGTAGTCGGCGTTCAACAACGACGTCAGTGTCCCATTAAGGCCATCGGGTCGTGCGTACGTAAACACAAAGATCCGATACGTGTGCTCAGCGGAGCGCCCTACGCCAATCGAAGCAGCGGCAGAAATTTATCATGTATGTCATTTTTTTCTGTGCATGCTGCACGGTCGTATAAAATAAAGCCCCAATAAACCATAAAAGATGTACAAATGCACAGCGTGACCATCACGCAGGCCAGTGCCCCTTTTTCCCATAAGAGGCGCTTGTACGCAACACGGCGGCTCATGGGAATTATTTCTTTCTCCTCCTCTTTGTGTGGTGTTGCTATTGTTGCTGGATTCAGAAAATGTATCGCGTGCATGCAGGCAGCACGGATGCTGGGGAAAAGTGCCACCAGTGAAGTGGGCGCAGTTGAGACCGTTGCATCAGGACCTTGGACGACGGCAAGAAAAAGAGGAGGATAAAAATGGAAACGAACGGTGTTTTTTTTTTGTTGTTGTTGTTGGCCGTATGCAAATAGTCAGCAGCGGCCACAGCTGAGTCCTTGTGAGTGCATGCGGCAACACACAACTGCGGAGTTGCGTTTGAAGGCTGACGTCACAAACGTCGACAATGACGCATTGTTATTATTGACGTGACGCAGCGAGAAACGTACAAAACAGTAACGGCGTGGTACAACAACTGTCGTTGCTGGAGCACACGCCCGTAGTTGATGACTGCCTCCATCGCGGAGACAACACCGTTTATACAGGGCAACAATTAATGCATCTTCTTCCTCCTCTTTGTAATGATACTGCTCATTCCCCAACTTAGCATGTCGTGCGATGCGTAGCGGCGATTGCTTGTTGGTAGCTTAATAATAAATTCTGGGCGGTCTCCCTCGCCACACTAGAGGCACTATGGAAGTAGCCAAAGTTGCAGTAGTCCGTGCAACTGGCCTTGTTGAAACAGCAGGGGAGCAAGCGCCATGACGTGAGGCAGCCTATCAACGGCCTGCAGGTGATGCACGCAGGTGTCAAAGGGCATTCCACAGAGGTGCTTCGCAGTCGTGGCACAACGACCAACATTCAGCGAGGTGGTCCGCCAGTCCACCTCCGTGGGGAACGCCGCCGTTGTCAATGACATGCTTCAGCGCTAAAAGGCCCACAACGAGAAATTCGCAGTGAAATACTTCTGCCAGTTGAGCTGCAAGGATACCATTGCCACCGTTGACGTCAATGAGTGTATCAACGCCTATTGGGTCCTCGCCCAGCAGCGGCAAAAAGCGACAACAGGAGCTCACAAACACCAATTTCTTGCGTCCAAACTCTTCAATGCGTAAAGTGAGGAGCGGCCCAGAAACATCAAACGTGTGGGCGCCAACGAGTTGACGTCACCACCCCGTCTCGCCTGTTCTACCTCCTTCGCTTCGCTGCTTATGGGCCTGTCGGGCCCGGCAGCGCACGTGCCCTTTGTGGTTCCACCAAACATGTGGTAGACCGTCATTCCTGACTTGAATCGGAGCGGAAATGACTGGTTTGTCTCCGCCGTGGGTACACGCAACCAACTCCCACACGTACATCTTCTGCAAAAAGGGAGACCGCATCGACGCCACGTGTGAAGTCGACAGCGCCTCCGGCGCCTCATTGTGGGATTCTGAGAACACGCGCAGCAAATCCCCTCCATGAAGGCCTGCAAAAGCCTTCAGGTGGCTAAAAGGGAGGGGCCTCTCATGCGCCAGTGACGGCAGACCACCCACCAACACCGACGCCAACGTCCTGCGTCGCACTTCTAAGGGGAAGGATCAACCCGCGCCTAGCACCTTCATCAGCAGCGACGCGTGCGCGCAGACGCGCTGCATTCGTAATAACTTCTTCTTCAACAGGGACGGACCACACGGCATCAGCCCAGCCTGTGACCGCCCACCCCCGCGCCCCAGTCACACGCACACAGACATGTGAGAGGATGCTCCGAAACAAACCGCAATAATAAAAAAAAAAAAAAGAGACGCAGAACGCAACAATAAAAAAGTAAAGCGGGAAAAATAAACATCCGCTATTTGAGGCAGTCACCCCTCCCCCTCCCCCAAAAAAGCAAAAGGGAAGAGTAAAGAGGGAAAATGCTGAGATAAAGAAACAGGGGGTGAAGTGCGCAGGTCAAACATTTCACGTTCCCCGAAAGCAGCACATGAAGCGTCAATGTTGGGGTTGCTTCTGCTCGCGCCAGTATTGAAAAATTACGGTTTAAAACTGTCATTACCTCGGCGAAGTAATGCAGGAAAAAAAGTACACGTCAGAAGCCATGCTCCGAGGGAACTGCGCTGGAGCTTCCAGACACATCGCCCACAGGACCCTCGGCTTCCTTCAACAGCAGCACCAGGCGCTCTCGCCTTGTATACAACTCCCGCCGGAAGGCCTCTTGATCAGCCATAGAAACCGCAGAAAGAAACTTAGCGCTTATTGTAGCCACCTCATGGCCAATTTTATCTATAGCTTTAAGAAGCGAGGCATGCTGGGTTTTCGCCACTGATCCACGGCGCCAAGAGTTCGTTGCCGTTGTCGTTGCGGCAACAACCGTCATATTTTCTGTTCGTGGCACTTTTACGGTCGAGGCGTACAGCGAGGCGTGATCGTCCTGCGCTCGCTCACCCTCTTGAAGGGCCTCGAGAGGTACATCCGACACTCCGTCGAAGAAGTCCGCACGCCGCTTTAATACGCCCGAAGCAGCAACGCTCGAGACCAACACATCCTCCAGTGCCGCCAGTACCTCGGCCTCAGCCCGCTGGGAGGGGATACAGAGCTCCTCCCGCAAGTCTTCTAGAACACGCGTTTGCTGCTTCGTCAAGGATCCAGCGCTTCGCATGCACAACACGCGGCATACGCTGCGATAGCAGAGCAGTTCCTCCTCCCGCGCACTCTTGTAGAGCTCAAACGCAGGGATCGGTTGCAGCTTCCCCTGAGACGCTTTTGCCGCCTCCGTGCTGGTGTAAAAGATGCCTGCACTGCTCCCTCCGGCGCGCATACGTGGGAACCACTGACCTATTTGTACTCTCACTGCAGGGAGGAAGAGAAGTAGCGCACACGAGCGGTGACAGGCAGCACACCCGCCACCATAGACGCAAAAAAATGAGTAACAAGGCCGCACATCCCGCCTGTTCTCCGTGGAGGAAAAACAACAACAGCAACAACACAGCGATGCTTGTGACACAGCAGAAAATAGGGAACGTTTACCGAATACCCTCTGAACTAGAGACACCCAGACACCACAATTTAACCCAAGTGAAGAGCACCAAAGAAAAAAAAAACACACACAACAAAAAAAAAGGTACAATTTTTAAAAAATATAAAATATGTTAGTGCTAATGAAAAACTATTGTTATATGTAGCTAATAACAAAGAAAGAGCTGCTCACTCACACGGCGTAGACTGGGTCTCTTATGGAAAGGGTGTTGTTGCCGTAATGGTGCCATCAACAAGATCATGCAACCATGTATCTATCGCTGCCTTGGGTGGCTTTATTGTCGCCTTCATCCTTCCTTGTCGTATAGCGACGACTATTAAGTCCTCCTCCTCCGTTGATGCGTCTTCGCCCTTAAAATCGTGTGCTTCTTCTTGGTGGTGCTGAGAAAGCCATGGAGCCAGAATTGGATCCGTTGGCGACGCAAGACGTACGGCAAATCGTAAATCCTCGGCAAGCGATGGAAGCGCCGGCAACCCTTCCCCACCGGGATGAAACAAAAGAAGAAGAAATCCCTTCCCAACCTTTGCCGCCTCCAAGTCTGCAGCGGTGAAGGAAAGCAACTGTTTTTCGTTTTTCGCCATACGGTTTGCGTCACTGTGGCTGCATCCACCCGTCTCGGCGGTTGCCTTGGGCGCGGTGGAGGCTGCCGCTTCGCCATTGCTGTTGCCGTTGCTACCAGTGGTGGCAGTGTTGGCGGTCTCGTTGCCCAGGAGGCCGAATCGGTTGAGGACTTTGTGCATGATGAACATCATCAAAAAGGGGTAGGAGTTGGATAAAAATGAGTATATGACACTGAAAACCCAGCGGAATTTGATGTACAAGTACTGCACATGTGACAAGTAAAACGGCCGTGAGTTCATCAAACGTGAGAGTGGCGTTGCGAGGTGCAACGGGGTGTCTGCCTGCTCCCCCCCTGTCAGCAGACGGGAGAGCGACTCCGCAATTTGGCTTGGATTTGAATCGGGGAGCAAAAAGTGCAGGTTGTTCTCGTCGCCGTCCATGATGGCCACAAGTGTGTCGTGCGCCGACGTCGGTAGGACGTCACGCAGACTTGACTCACTGTCCAGGCACACGTACCCCACCGCAAACGGTTTGTAGTCCCCCGCCAGGACGTTCTTCCAAACGTCACTTGGCGGTTCCACACAGCTCTCGCGCAGCCACAACAGACAGTGCCGCCGACACACCTCGTAAAGCGAGTTGCTCGTCACGTAAGTCACGTCTGCCATTCCCGGGTGTCGTGGAGGCAGAGACTCCCGCACAAACGCGTTTGCCTTACGATACGAGAGGGCGGCACTGACGCCAATGCTGACGCCGCTGCAGTTCCTCATGAAGTGTGACTTCTCCACAGATGCCACGCCACCAGCTTTGGCGAGTCGATGCGAGGAGACGACGATGAATTCTGGCATTGGCACAAGCTCTCCGTCGCGGTTGCGTGCCTCTATCGGCTGCTCGCAGTAGTTCTCTACAAAATCCTGAAGTGCCGCCCGCGGCACGGAGCGAACCACGGCCATGCCCTCGTACACATACGAAAGGGTGAGAGCCACAGACTCCACCGTCAGCGGCGGCAGCAGGACACGCAATGTGTCTGCAGTACCACGCTCCTCCTGCAGCCACTCCAGAATTGCCTCTGTACCATTTGACACCTTCAAAGAATTGATTTCAGTGTACCTATCGTAAAAGAAATTCATAACAAAGTCCAAGAGCGCTGTGAAGGCGCTAGTCCTACTCCGAGATTTAACCGCGTCTTTTATCTGCAGCATGGTCCACGCTTTTCCATCGATAAAGGCGTATACCCCGACCTCTCCATTGTAGGAGAGGTCTAGCGCTTTCAGCAGCGATGGCCCTTCCATGGAGTAGGCGTCAATGCGAAGCATCTCCACCACGCCTCCCTCAACAAGACTCGATTTCGTAAGTCCTTCCCAGTTGGAGGCAAACCAGCGGCAGGAGTTACAAGTGTCGTCGTACACCTGCAGCAGAAACAACCGATTTCCACGAAAGTTTAGAATCCGTTGCGCCGTGCGTAGTGACTCCAGCTGCTGACTCTTGGAGAGAATAGGCGACTGCTGATGGAAGTACTCAAATATCTGCTGCGTTGAAAATTCTGCAGTGTCAAACTTCTCCCCTGGGACGGCTCCAAAGTTGTCATAGTCCTGCCGCTGAATGTCGTCAGACAAGACCTTATACGCCTGAAGCAACTGCACCATGTGCTCCTTGGCTGCCTCCTTCGCCTCATACGTCTCCTGCATGTCCGGGTGATGCTCACGGGCGAGCTTTCGAAAGGCCCTTTTAATTTCCTCCTTTGTAGACCCCCGCGCCACACCGAGTCGCCCGTACAAGTCATTGCTATCCACGCTGCCAAATAGACGTGCCTGCGCCGGGGTCGGCAAAAAAAGCAACGCCGCCGTTGCCACCACCAATACCACCACAAGCAGCAGGCGCGCTAACAAAAATTGCTGTTGGCGCCTCATTTCTCCTTGTTGTTGTTGTTTTTTTTTTCCTACCGTTTTTCCCCTTCTAATTATATTTAACTAATTAATTGTTCTTGGAAAAGAATTCGCGCTCTGTGCGACCACCGTATATGTGCGGGGCGCTTTCAGCTTCAAATCTGTGTAACGCTGCGTTCGTACTGCAGTCGCTTCGGGCAACGACGGAGCGCCACACCGCAGAAAAAACAAGTAAAGCGCAACGACGTTGTATGTGTTTGGCGGCACAACTTCCCACCGACACGCAGGCAGTGACACACAGACACAAAATAATAATAATAACTCGGCCACTCATAGAAATACAGTGAGAAAAAAGACAAACTAACAAGATAATAAATAAATAAACAATAAAAAATAACAACCTCGCTGCTGGAAGATATGACTGCAGCGATCATGCCTGTAAGCCCGTACTGTACGTGACTGTGCATGCATGTAGTTGCGTGTATTGATGTGTCCCTGCATGACGTTGTCTGTCGTCAGCAAAACAGTGTGAAGAGGGAAACCCAAAAACAGAAAAAAATAACAACTAAAAAGTCCCAGCAGGATGCATGTAAAAATAAAAATGAGGTAAAAAAAACAGTAATGAAGCCACAAAACAAATAAACAAAGAGAAAGAAAAAAAAGTGTAGTTGTGGTGGTGGGGAGTCACTCAGCGGCCAGCGTAAGCAGCTCATCATCTGTCTCCTGCTTCCATCTGAGGTGGGCCGCCAGTTCATGATCCACCTCCTGCTGGAGGTCAGCAAGAGAATTGATGGCCCGTCGCAAGAGGTCCGCTTCCAAGCCGGTTGATGTCATCAATGAGGTGAACGCAACGTCCTCAGGAAGCCCTCCGTCATGTTCTTCCGCCTTTCTCTTCTTCTGCGGTTGACACTGCAGGAGTTGCCTAAGAAGGTCGTTTACGGCACAGGCTCGAGTATCAGCTTCTTTCGCGTCTTCGATGTCGTCCTTTCCAATGCTTAGTGCCGACGGCTCCAACGGCATCCCCTGCGAAGTATTATTCGCCATGGAGAGGGCGCATCGATCCACTTCGTCGCATTCCTGCCGCAAGTCGGCTTCGGCCCTCAAACATAGCTCGCGAAGTGCATCCAGTCGCGCTTCCTGTTCTGTTTGCGTATCTGTAGCCATCTTTAGGCGACACAGCGCCTCTGCCTTCTGCTGCTCTTCCACTAGCAGTGCGGTGTACATCTGCGTTGCCTGCGTGTGAAGCGTCGTCCACTGTGCCTCCATCTCCGCCGTTTTGGCCGCCAGCTCAACCTCTTGCCTCGCCACTTCACCATCTTTGGTTTCCACGGAAGAGCGGTAGGTGGCCTCACACTGCATGTGTACAAGCGCTGTTTGCAACGACTTTTGCCAGGCGGAGAGCAAACTCTCGTGCATGGACGTTTCTCTCTGTACTGCAATGGATTCCTGTTGCAGGTTGGTATGGGCGTCCACAATGCGTGCATCGAGGACGCCAACACGCTCCGAGAGGAGTTGTACCAACGCAAGCTGCTCTTCCAGGCTTGCGGAGAGGTTCCTTGATGCCGCAGCCGCTTCTCGCAGGGAGACGTGTGTCCGACACACCGTGAACCAGCGTGACCGCATCATATCCACCTGTTCATGTGGAACAATGGCACAGCAAAGACCCACCTTTTCACCTTCGCCCTCTATGGTTTCCCCCAGACTGACACAGGCGTCAAGTTCATCCATGCAGGCGCTCGCGTAAACCTCACATACCTCCTCCTCCTCCTCCACATTAGTGACACCGTAGACAGGAGGTGGTATGAGTAGTGCACGAACTGCACCTGAAGCGTCATGACGAAGCAGCTGCTCACACAAATGGAGAGCCGTCGCACACTCCGGCTGCTGTCTCCACACTCCGCGTGACCACTCCAGAAGCATATCTTCAAAGCCAACAGGAATTACATGCTGCTTCTCAATGTGTTTGATGCGCTCGTCGAGGACGGATTGCCGCCTTCGAAGGTCATTCGTTGCTGTACGCCATTCATTTGGGGCCCGCCCTTGGGTCTGTTCATGGCACCGCTCCAGGAGACGCACAACGTCGCCACTCTTGGCCGTGTACTGCGTGACAAACTCATAAAGTGTCGCGGCGATTTTCTCAGAGGAACGCCGTACGCCAGCAAAGATGCCCTGATCCTCCTTCATTTGGGCGAGCATAACGTGAATCTCTCGCAGCTGCTCCTCACGTTCTTTAACACGGTGCTCCTCCGTTTCAATCCTCGCCTCCAGTACTGCCTTCTGCTCCTGCAGCCTGCTGATGGTCGTCTGCACCTTGCAGTTGAGCTTCTCCACCTCTTCAGCTTCCGCGGTCAACGCCGACACCATTGTCAGGTCCTTTGTGCGTTGCTTAAACATTGACATCGCGGCGTGGCGCATCGCAGCAAAGTTGTCCTCCGCCGCTGCCTCAGCCCTGCTGGCAGCTGCCATTATGGTAGTTGCAATGGTGGCAGCGGCGGGGCGCTGCTGCTGCCGTTGGTCCGACATGGAAAATTGCACCCGCAGGTACTGTGCCTTTCCGCTCAAAAGCTACGCACAGAAACAACACAAAACGGAAAAAAACCACATATATATATATACAGAGAGAGAGAGAGAGAGACATACATATACATATTATACATATAACAAATACACACATGCACATGCACATGCACGGCACAGACAGAGTAAAAGTAACAATGAGCGTTAAGATGGGCGTATACACCCAAGATTAAACAAGACAAACAGGTCCGTGCAGCGCGGTGTGCATGCGTGGAGACCCGCTTTTTGTGCCCAACCGCGATGCCACTGACTACAGTTCCCCACCACAACCACCTCACGATTTTTTTTCCCCCTGCCTCCTCATTTCTCTTGCAGAGTGCATGGGGAACATTGTGTCCTGACTCCGGTCTCCTCCTGCTTCTTCCTGTCGCCGCCGCTTCTGTCGCTTCTCGGTAGCCACCTGCTTCGCCAGCCCCTTCGGCAACGCCGGCGCCCGCAAGTTGACACAGAAACGCTTGCTGCCACTGCTAACACACACTGCTGTTGGGTCCTCTGCAGTCTCGTCCTCTTGACTACTGGCGCTATGAGCATCCTTGGCGTCGTCGCAGTGAGGTTCCGCCTGACATTGTTCATAGCTTGCAGACTTTTCCTTCCTGTTAGGCTCAGCACCATCATTGCGGGTGCCGTCAGTGGCGCCCGCGGCCATGTTGGTATCAGCAACCTTTTCAGAAGCACTAACCTTGTGCACGAAGGAGCGCCGTGCGAAACTGTACGACTCCCGCGAGAAACCTGTGTCATACAGAATTGTTGCACTGCGCCACTTCCTTGCCAACGGGGATTGACCAATTGCCACCCCACTCGCAGCATGGTCGGCACCAGACGCCACCTGTAGTTGCTCCTCCAACCGTTTTTTGTTGCTCAATCTCAAAGAGTTCGCGGCGTTTTGTCTCCTCCTTCCGCTGCATAAATTTCATGCCACGCAGCACCTCCAAAGTCTTTGATTTGTCCATCGCCAAAGTAAGAATGGGGACGTGGCAGTGAAAGAGACCCACCACGTAGTTCACCACAATATATGCAAACGTTTTGTTTTCTGTAGGAGTGCTTCAATGGCAGTGATCTCTGCAGTGAGCTTTTGTGCACAGGCAATCGTGTTACTAGAGTTCCTCGCCCCAGCGGCAACAATAACAGAGAGAGAAAGTGAGAGAAATGCAATAATAATAATAATCATCATCATAATAGTCATAGTTAAGCATAAAACAAAGACACAATGAACAAAGACGGCGGACACTATTTACCATCCACTGATATCCACCTTCTCAGCGAGATGGCATTTCCAACATTTCATTTCTGCCTTGCGTTGAACCCTGTTTCCGTGGCTAACACGTTTTCCATTGTTTCTCTCGTCGCACCAGCAACACAAACCCTTCTGCACCCTCATTCCAACGTCTCCGTTTCCTTTCAGGCACCCGATTATTATTTATATCATATATGTACGTTTACCTTCCCGGCAACGCGGTATTGGCTGCTGTTTTTGCAGCTGCAGTTTCTGCTCGTGTGCCATTATTGTACGGAACAAGGCACGGAGTGAATATATATGTAGAGAGAAACAAGGGTTGGGAGGAAAAGGAGGGAAACCAAAAAAAAAAAGAAAAAAAAAAACAAGCAGAAACTCAACTTTACATAATAAAATTATGAACCGCCCTGCACACGTGGAACAACGCCTTTCCTGACGCTGTCCCGCATCTGTGGCATGGGCCTGGCGTTCTTGTACGCAGGCAGATGCGGGCGGGGGTTGCTGTTGACGGGGAGGCGTTGTGTCTGGTTCGGAAAGACACGGGGCTGAACCGCAGCTCCGCTCACTCGCACCCCACCCACCGCATCAAGGGAAAAGGAGGGATCAAGAACAATGCTATGGGGCGCCGAGTACTCCGTCGTCCGCATCATCTCCGCCTTGTCCCGCTCCTCATCCGTAACCTCCTTATTGTCTAGCACCGCCAAGGCGGGCAGAGCGGCAATCGTCTGAGCACGGTACGGTGGCTTGCGTGCGACGGAATTTCCAAGGAACGTCGCTGTGGCGAGACAAGTGGCGTTCCGGAGATCGTTGAGGAGCAGCCGCAAATCACCAAGCCGGTTGGAGGCCAGATCAAGTGTCCCGAGGCGAATAAGCGGCTGAAGACCCTCCGTGGAACGAATACAATTTTCCTCAGCAGATATGTCCGTCAGCTGCAAATTGTTCACAAAACAGTCGGGTCCCAGCGCTCGCAGTTTATTGTTGTCAAGAAGAAGCTCTCGCAGGTCTGTCAGTCCCTGCAGGCCCTGATCAATGAAGGTGATCTCGTTCCCCTTCAAATTCAGGAACTTCAGCCGCGGTAGCAACAGACCAAGCGCTGAGATGTCGGTAATATGATTGCTCTCCAGTGAAAGGGAACGCAAATTGTGAAGGTGCTGCAACGTGTGACCCACAGGGCACTGACCAAGACGGTTGTGGGAGAGATTTAGCGCCACAAGGTTGTGCAGGGAAAGCAACCCATCAATGTGAGCTATACTATTGTGGTGCAGGTGCAGCACCTTTAGGGAAACAAAAGGCTCCATCATGGTCACTTCTCGCAGTCCGCAGAGCGAGAGATCCACCTCATGCGCAGTCTTCCACTGGCTTGTCGAACCGACGCGCTCAACGAGTAATTCAGCATTTACCCGCCCCGCAAACACGTCCCTGGCGCGTCGCTGCTCCACCTCTCCTATAGGCACCCCATCCAACACCTTGAGCTTCGGAAGATTGTACACGAGGTAATTACGATACTCCCAACGCTTCTGCTCGGTGTCCTGGTACCCGCTACAAGGGTTACCTGCAGCATCGATGGAGACAAGGTTTGGCAAGCGATGCAGCGGGTGCAGGTCACGCACGTCGCAGATCAAATTCCTAGCAAAGTAAAATTCCTCAAGGCACCTGCAGTGCTGCAGCGCAGCCACGTGGGTGATAGCGTTTTCAGTGACAGAGAGGAAGCGCAATTCATTCATCTCATCTAGGCACTCGATGCCCGTCAACTGGTTGCGTGCAAGGTCCAGGGAGACCAGCCGCATCCCAGCCAGGGGTTTGGCTGTTTTCACCAAGTTCCCGCTCAAGTTCAACGTCTTGAGGTGCCGCAGCTCCGCTAGAGGGGTCAAATCCTCAATAACGTGCGACTGGAGACACAAGTGACGCAGCTGGGGCAACAACGACACCCACGTGAGGTCACGCATCAGGCTAAAACGAAAATAAAAGTTTCGAACACTCCTCAGTGGTGGCATGGATGAATCCTTCTTTGTGGAAGCAAGAGAGGCACGGTCCCTCTCTGTCTTCTCCATAAGCTCTGCAAACACCGCCTCAAAGGAAGCGATCTTTACCACATCTACATTACCCATTTGGTCCCCATCATTGTAAGTCATAACACCACCCGCGGCATCCTGCGTCTGCCGTTTTCGCTCCTCTGCGACAATGTACTGCAACATTCTCTGGTCCATTACAATGGTGCGTTTCTGGCGAAGAAACAAGGACGCGTGCCGTGAAATCGGGATTTCATTTAGATGCTGTAGTTGAGGCAACACGGCAAAACAAAAGACCTCCGCCAATTTGTTCTCCATCCAGGGGTTATGATCAATGTCTAAAGACTTCAACATCGGCAGGCCCCCGCGAAGTGGAAGCAAATCATCCAAAGCATGAAGCTTGTTGCAACTCAGACAGAGCCAATGAAGCACAGGAAAATGGGCGGCGGCAAACTCCAGACGGTTGAGTACGTTGTTGCCAAGGTCCAATTTTTCCAAGGCTGGCGCCACAAGCGCCAGCGCTTCCCACGCTATAGAGGATATTTTATTGCCTTGTAAAAAAAGCTGCGTTAACGAGGTCCATGCGTTTGTGGTAGAAATTGATGCTGGAATACATGTGATTTTCTGACCCGACATATCACACAACACAATGGGGGATTCTGTTGAGGTTGATACTTGATTCTTATAGGCCTCCACCAATGCATTGGTGAGGATTCCACTGGCCTGAAAAACCACGCTCCTTAAACGACGCAACTCCTCAGCCTTGCGCAGCACATTCTGTGTCTCTTCGCTAAGAAGCACGTGCGAGACGGAGGAATCCAGCCACTTTAAAAATGAAAACAGTGGGTACCCAACAGTCCGTATGTCGGCAACGCAATCTGGGGTCACCCCCGGTACGTTCTTCTCAATAAGTGCTTCGAGTACGGCCAAATCATCGTAGACGGACAGTAGAGGGCTAATAAAGCGATAAACTTTCGTGGTGTACGTGAAGTCAATCACGTACTCAGGTAAAACGAGGGACTTGTCAAACATATGCCACACCTTCACCGAGGTGTCGTGCGGGGCCACGCGGTAGATGGAGAACACCTCCTCGCCGTACTGGCGTCGTGTGCGGCGACGACGTTCACTTTTCATGAACGGCACATCACCGTTGGCCTCCTGCTCACGGGAGGCCCCCATTTCCGACACGCACTTACCCAAGAAGAGCCGAGACACCACCAACTGCCCAGAAAAAGACTCGAGGGGCACCCGTACACCGTAAACATCGCGGCGCGTGGTCGTCGTCGACATCAGACGCTCCTGGTCAGCATAGTACAGGCTATTCGTGAGTGGAACCCCGTCGTCCTCCGCGTACAGGCCACTGAAGCCGTTTATCATAATCTCATGAAGAAAACGACGTTGTTCCATCACGTTTTTGGGCACCGCGCTAAAGAGCCGTACCAAAGCGCGACGGCTGCGAGTGTCCACGAGGTCCACGTCAAGTTCCCGCATTCGGTTATCAAAGCGCTCCCTCTGACCCTGGCACATGATGCGAAAGACTCGGTTCACCTTCACACCTGTGATCCCCAAACTCTCATAGAGGGTTGCGTCAAACCGACTAGATACTAACTCCTTTGCACTGGCGCACCAGGTGTCCTCCAGTGACCCTTCCTCCAGGCGAATGTTGCCGCACGAATTAAGCTCCAACAACAGTCGCTCATGCAGACTGTCAGATTCAAAAATAGTGCGCTCCTGCGCATCCAACAACTGACGTTCAAGTCCCCCCAGCTCCGCCTCGTGTCTGTCCCGTGCCACCCGGAGTTTGAGCATATGCTGTTTTTCCTCGTCCATGGCTGCCTGGTTTGTCGGGGATCCATCTAGTACGCATTCACCCAGCGCCGTGATCTCTAAATTTAATTGTCGCAGTGTTTTACGTACCAAATCCCGCTTGGCCTCGGCCTCTTGATGCACCCGCGCGAAGAGAATTGAGATATTTCTGTCGAGAATCGCCCGCCGCATACTATAATAAATGCTCTTCTTTGCATACACGGAGATCGCGAGGGTCCGCTGCTCTGCAGTGATGGCAACACCGTCCAATTGCTCTAGATGTAGAAGATGACGCAGCGAAAAGGTGGTGTAGTTGCTCAGGTGACAAATGGGGGCATCTCCATACATGGGATCACTGAACCACACCCTGCGCAGCGATTTGAGAACGCCCAAATGCGTGAGTTGATCCAGGAAGTAAATTTTGTTGTTTGACAGATTGAGCTCTTGAATAGAGGTCATGCTGGACGTGAAGGCGTTACCAAGTGTCGTAATACGATTTGATGCCACCCAGAGAGATACAAGTACCGGCAAGACGTTCAATCTCGTGATGTGGCGTAGCTGATTTCCACAGAGCCACAACTCCTGCAATTGGGGAAGATACGGAATGCCATCCATGTCCTCAATCATGTTTCCCTGCAAGAAGAGTCGTCGCAGTCGCTGCATCTGTTGCAGTCCTTCGATCCTGCAAATGTTATTTTCATTCAGCCAGAGCTCTTCCACGTGGTGCAGGCAGGACAGGCTCCGCATGCTCTCCAACCCAACGTGAATAATTTTCACTACAGTAAGGTACGGAAACAGGCGCAGCTGTGGCAACTCTGATGTCGACAACAGAAACACTTCTAGCACCCTCAACTCATGCGGAGCCTGAAGAAACTCCTCAAGCGTCAACCCGCTGTTTTCGCATAGCAGCTCCACCACCTCCGCCGTCTCATGGTCCTTTATGGCCTGCCTAATGGCGCCTCGCAGGTGCTCCACGACGGCGGAGGATATCCCGTCGCGCTCCACAGGGACGTCGCTACGCTCCTCTGCCATGATTTGTGCTTCCCTTTTCTCAACCGCCCCTTCTCCCCTCACGCACCCAGAAAGGAGAGAAGGTACCGGAGGCCAATGTCACATGCACATTGCAATACAAACACAACAACACCAAAAAAAAAAAGCAAACAAACAAACAAACAAACAAAAATAATAATAACAGTAATAATAAAACAGAGCGCCTCTTGCACAAGGGCCTTACGCTAGCCGATGAGGGCTCTGTACGCTCTAATGCAAATCCCCAATAAAATGTGCTCCGATGATGTGTTGCTGCTGATGCTGAAGAAGGGATAAGGAGGAAAGGAACTGGTACTGCTTCACGCTTCTGCAGCAGACTGATCCACGGGTAAGCTGCAAGGTCATGAACATATGCGTGTGCATAGAACAAAGGAAAGATTAATAAATTCATACATCTTGCATATGCATCCTAACGCACTGCTCTACACGAGTCGTGGGGGTAAAGGAAGAGAGACATTATCGTCCACTCAGACACACGAAGAAAGGCAGTCAGACGACAAGCGCACATCCCGAAGACGGCAAAAAGCAGAAAAACATCATCTTCACCGTCGATTTCGTCGTCCACGCAACGCCTTCCTTAGAGGTCGGAGGGTTCACTTGGCCTCCGGGTAATCGGCATACCGTGCGCATCACACCCCTTTGAGCTTCGTTCCCATTGCGTACACACGACCTCACGCACCTTCCTTGGAATGTCTTTCATCCCACCCTCGTCCGCTGCGGCAAAGATAGCGGCCACCAGCTCCTCCTCCTGCTCATCAAGCAGCTCCTCACACGTGGAGGCGAGAAAGTACTGCATCCACCCACCACGAACGCGGTTAATCATATTACTTTTGCTAAAAAAAAGTGAGGGCTCCGTATCACTTATCATCTCCAAGCCGTACAGGAATGGAACCTCACGACAAAGCTGCTCAAACGCGTCCACCATCTCAAACTGCTTCGGTTGGGAGCGGTGTGGGGGGTTGCCGCCACCCCGCGCCTCCCGCTCTCTACGAGCCAAGTGCTGCTGAACGACGCTGGAGAGGAGGTGGACGGCGTGCTCCACAATGGCGCCGCATGCGGAGCACTTAAGCGGCAGGTGAAACGCGGGCACGTCGGGGTTAGGTAACGCCTTCATGACGGGGTCTTCCTCGTTCAGCTGCCTCTCGCTGGAAGTGCCCCACCCACTACTATCCCCCATACTGATGTATGCTGGCGTCTGACTGTGAGCAGGGGATGCAGCAAAGCACAGCAGCACCCCCAGCAAGAGGCGCAGCGACAACAGTTTATCCCAGGACATTCCAAACCTGTGCGTACACATTTCTATACACAAATGTAAATATGTCACTCTCTCCGTATATGACGATGATAAAAGACTGCAGAACAGTACTAGTAGGAAAAAAGAAAGCAAACAAGGAAACCACAACATCCATAAGAACCGCGCGAAGTCGTGTTTGGAGCCGCCTAAGATACTCAGCACCAGCCACCGTGAGTGCAGCAGACGGCCAAGGAAGAGTAAACCTCACAATCAAAATAAATTCGATAAAAAAGTTTTTTTTTTGTTGTTGTTGTCACGGCAGAGGCATCGTTTAAAGTGCCGTATTCCAACTGCAGGTTTTTACACCTGTTTATTGGAGAATACAGCTGATGGGCTCCACCGCCGCACACACACGGGCACTGACGATACCCCCACACCGAACCAGCTAAAGTAAATAGACACTGAACTTAACCCCCATGCGGGGGCACCACCACCGACACAAAATGCACCTGGCGCCACATTCGACCGTGCCGCGGACAGGCTCTCGTTTTTGGTCAAGCCAAAGTTGAAAGCGTTCGGAATGAGCGTGAGAGTACCCGGTGCATCTCAGTTGTTCCACGACAACAACGGTCGAGGCAGCTCTCAGAGGTCCCTCACTTTCCCCACCGCACGGCTGCACAGCTCACTCACACCAATCGTACGCCGGGAGTTGCAGGTTACCCCGTAGGTTTTTTTATTCCCCGATCTCACCAGACACACCCCGCAGGCGACGGGTAGGATCATCCATGTGCGGCGCTTCAGCGCACACTAGAAGAATGTAAGGAGACAACGGGGCGCCCCCATCGGACTGGCCTGCTTCTCTCAACTCCGTCTGCTGCTCTTGTTGTTGTGTTTGGGTCGATGGTGTCGCTGCCGACGATGAAGGCAGCCATCCAAGACAAACTGGAAGGGGCTGCGCCTTAGATAACGAGGAGAGCAGCCTTGAAACATCCCCGTCCTTCGGGACCGTCGCATGCGTTGGTGCGCCCCTGCGCGGGTAAAGCTCGTAGAAGCCGGACTTTGCCATCATACTTGGCGACATGAGGGAAAAGGGGTAGTCAGTTGTATACACCGGCTGCGACAGGGTGCGGCCCACCGAGCTGTCCTTTACATGCGGTGGAAGCAGTGAGAGAAGCACATCGTAAAGCATGATAGCTGTATCTACTTGCTGGAGGATAAGGATATACGCCCGGTGACCACCATATGAACGGGCAACTTCCATCTCAATGCTGCGCCTCTCCATGAAACTGACGATGCCAATAATATCCCGCAGGAAGACAGTAACAGTAAACGCCGATGAGAATACACGAAACAGAAGACGGTTTGTGTACAGACTGATCACAACATCGTTCGCAGCGATGACAGGGTATGGCACCTCCGCAATAACAAGACGTCCCCAAATAATTTGCTGGCGTTGAGGCAGCTGCCCCTGTGGTTTCTCATGGTATCCCTCATCCCAGGCGCCACGGGGTGACAACATCGTCATTCGCTTTGGCTTGAAATAAACAGAGGTCTCTCTCGCCGTGTGTGTAACCGTAGGCGGAGACAAAAAAGGGAGCAAGACCCACACACCAAAGAAGAAAGAAAGAAGACCACTCTGTACATGAGCAGCCAAACGACGCAAACAACAGAGAACGGTAATCAGCCCAGCGAGAACGCACATCAAAACAAGAGCAACGAACAAATCGGAGAATTAACACAACTTCACAGCCCCGGACGCAGCTTCTTCCCCCGTCGTGTGTCCTCCTTCTTCGCCCGCTTCAGACGACGCTTCGCTTCCTGCTGTGCCCTCGCCGGATCCAGCGCGTGTCGAACCACCGCGGCGGAGAGCAGCAGACCAAAGAGCGGCGGCATGTAACTGATTGTTCCGTTTAAGGCGCGGTCTCGCCCACCGGACTCCTGCCGCTGCGGCTCCAGCGGTCGCACACCCTTTTCTTTACTATGCACAACGACAACGTTGCCGGGTCCAATGCCACGCTTTCTTAGCTCCGTGCGGCAGCAGCGGGCCAGGGCGTCGTTCTCCGTCTCAAATAGGTCACCAACGGAGACGAGTGAAGGGTCAAGACGACCGCCTGCGCCACAAGAGGCAAAAGTCTGAATCCCGAGCCGCACGGATGTCGCAAGGAGGGCCACCTTGCATTCCACGCTATCAATGCAGTCCACCACGTAGTCGTAGCGCTGCCGCGTCAAGATGTCCTCCATGTCCTCTCGAAGAAGCAGCGCGTCTAGGGCTGTCACGCGGCAGTGGGCGTTGATGTCCTGCAGGCGTTGCGCCAGCACCTCCACTTTGCACTTACCGATGGTGCTGTCAAGCGCCACAAGCTGTCGGTTTTTGTTGGTGGCAGAGACAACGTCATGGTCGCAAACAGTGATGCGCCCTATCCCGGCCCGCACCAGCGCCTCGGCACAGTGGCCGCCCACGCCGCCCACGCCTGCAAGAAAGACGTTGACCCCCTGCAGCTTCCGCACCCCTTCGTCCCCAACCAAAATTTGCGTCCGCTCATAAATAGCCGCGTTCAGCATTCCTCGCGCCGCTGCAGCACCAGCACAGAAGCGAGGGATAAAAAAAGAACAAGAAAAGAAAAAGAAATACAACGTACAACACACACACATACAAAAAAAAAAAGGAGCAGAAATCCATTCAAGCAGGGCTCCACCCGATACGTTCACGAGGAGTCACACATTTGGCCTTCATCTACTGCGCCACGGGGAGGCCAAAGCGCAGCGGGGTGGGGGGAAGGCGACTGGGGTGTGTGAGTTGCAGCGTCATCCGACTAGACGAGAAAAGAATGGTGACATAAACGGAGGAAAAACCAAACATGCAACTAAACAACTAAACAAATAAGCCAACGACACCAACACCAACGTAAAAAGGCAAACAGAAAAAAAGAGAGAAAGAAGGAAAGGACGAGGAAAAGAGACGAAGTAGCCATACGCAGCAGCAGTCACTTCACCACTACGGCACTTTTGCTCCTCTGACGCAAAAATGCAGGTACCAGAACGCGATGCATGAAACACGCCCGCATGACTTGTTGATACGCCACAACAGGAATCTGCAACCTTCCTGAACTGCTCTCGGCGAGGCGGAGAAGCGCCACTCCCTGGCTCCAGAGGGCCTTTCCCCCTATCACTACAAACATTTTGCGACGAACATTGGCAGGCACTCGCTCCGCAACTCCCGCTAGACTTTCATTTTGACACAACCGCAACATCGCCTCATAGTACTCCAACTTGCGAGTGCAACCCGCCTTCAAAAGAATAAGAGCCAACTGCGCCGAGAGACATGCCGCATCAACAACGGCAGGCGCCTTACCCTCTCAATGTTTCTTTGCGAAAAGAAGAGCACACCTAGCGGCAAACGTCAGCTCGGGTGTACGAGAGCCCTGCTTTGTGTCAGCGTCCTCAGCGGCAGCATCCCCCCCATCCCCTCCTCAGTTGGTAACCGCACTACTATTACTACCAGCACCGCCGCCACCACTGCAAGCTCCAGCACGAGACGAAGGCACTGTGCACCATCAACATTCGAGTGGCAACACCGCAACATGACACGCGTCTCGATGTCCGCAAGCAATCTGTTATCCTCCAAGTCGATTGTCTTCGATTTCTCTCCGTTCGGCTTGGGTGCCACGGTTCGTCCGCAATGCAGCACCGCCTTGCGCCGTTCCTTTTGAATAAACACCTGAATGCACGTCACGTCTTCGCAGGAGAGGGAGTCCGGCGGCGCGTGCTCGAGAGCCTGCAGCACCATGTGGAGCACAAATGAGGACATACGAAACGCCGCCAGGTCCCGTTGGCGGCACAGGCGATGAAACATCACAGGGAGAAAAGTCGAGGGAAGATGCATCGCCAAACACCTCACAAAGGCGTCTGGCCGAGAAATGACTGAGAGTTTATCGCACACGCGCAGGCACCCCGGGAGACCCCCCCGCCCCCCTGCAGGCACCGCACATCATGACACCCTGTATTACATCCATCACGTTGACATGCGGTAACAACCGATGCATGGCCGTCATTGTAGACACTGCCGCGGCCCCTTCGCTATCGAAGCATGCAAGTTGGAGCATGCAATGCATGACAACTTAAACATAACGACGGACACTACCGTACAGTACAACAACTTCTGCCACCCCCACCACGGCGTCCAGCTGGGTAATTTCCAACACCCGCTGGGACAGCGTCTCCAGCGCCAAAAGCTTGAGCTCGCCATGAAGTCGCTCTAACGTCGGCAGCTTCTGATGGAGCACAAGCGCAGGATCTCCCTGCTCAACGAAAGCCGGATGCACAGCTCTACTGTTAGACGCACGCCAACTGCACTCAGCGAGTGACCCCTTTTTGACGAGCAAACAAATATAGGCGGCGTCAAAGGCAGGTAGAGTTAACAGGCGACTGGCCGTCTCCGTGGCTGAAAAGGCGTCGACTAGTGACGGGGTGTCATTGAGTTTCACCTTCAGCACCGCCGATTGAGATGTGTGATCTTTTTTATGAGGACCTCTGCGTACCCACCAGAGGCATGCCGTATAAACATCAGGTTGAACACGGCTGTAGTGTCGCATGAGCACCTTCGACAGCGGACCCCGCATATCGTACCCCTCGTGTGCTTGTTCAAGCTCCATGCATCGCACTATCACGGAGCTCAGCGTGGAGGTGAACAGCAGTGCCAGACTGGTGGTGGTACCAAGCAGTGGATGCCTGGATCCAATTGTCGTCGTGTCCACTGCGTGAAACCTCATGACAGAAATTGCGCGGAACGCCTGTACCGCCTGTGTTCGCCGCAAGGAATGTCGAGAATGGTACAGGATAAACAGGAATAGCCGGGCATCCAAGTCAGACGCGCTATAAAGTGCCCCAATAAATGCCACATGTTTAGAGGACAATTCAATACTCCTTTCAGACAGGGCTGCCAAAGAGAAGCTAGCAGAGGGGCGAGGCTTCACAACCACACCCTTCACTACCACGCGAAGAGCGAAAAAGACCTCGGAGACGATACGTTACAAACTACTCAAACATAGCAACAAGTGCGTCGGCGTGAAGGGCGTGGAAAAACCGCTCCACCTCTTTTGGTGGGTGGTCGTCTTGCTGTTGGTCTAGATGCGCAAGGACCTCCTCAGAGGCCTCACAGACTAAAGGGATGTATCCCTGTTGCTCCTGCAGGTAGCGGTTGGTCTCCACGTTGGGCCATCGTCTCGTGCAAAGTATTGTATTGAGGCTGCGCCGCGAAGCCATTGCGTCATGTCCACACCTGCTTCTGCAACATGAACTCGCGCACGCCCTGCACGTGACTCGATGCGGTACAACGGTGTGGGAGCCATTCGACTCTCTCGCTAAAGCTCCACATCGTCGGAGAAGCGGCAGCAAACGTAGCTGTGCTGTTGCAGTTGTGGATGCCGACGCACGATGCCACCCGCCGTTGTGCCGTCGACATCTCTGCGCATCAGCAACAGGAGCGATGCGAAGGGAGAAACGGAGAAAAAGGAAATGATGAATAATCAAAATGGGAGTCCGGCTGCTCACAGCGGTGAGGCGCGCAGAGTGACAGAAGCAGCTATGAGCGCAAAGAACGCAGACACGCAAACAGTTACACCCCCAAGCATACAACACCAGTAACAAAGAGAAAACGGTGGGTGCCACCCGCCGCTGCTTCTTGCATTTACTTTTTGAGCACCAACGACGCGATCACGGGCAAAATATGCCCCGCAGAAACGCATCCCTGAACCGTCCAGCTGCCGCAGAACGGCGAAGCTGTGGCCCACGCTTGGCACCTCAACACAAATGGACGTCTCCTTGGTGGGATCACGCCAGACGTGTACAGGCTGCAGACCCAAGATGTGAAAAAACTGCAACAACTCCGCGTCATCCAGCCTGCATGGCAAATCTGTAATGAAAAGAAGCCTGCGGTGATCCGACACATTGGCTTTGCTAGTCGAATACGTCGCCACCATGGGACCTGTTTTAAGATACTGTGCGTAAGCCTCAGGATACAGCTCTTGCATCTGCCCCTCCGCCCGGTCAATAATATGCTTGCACTCCAAAAGTTCCTGTAGAAGCTGCAGTTTTCTGCACAACTGCTCTTCTGAAGGCGAGGCCGCCGTTCCCTCGGCCACCTCCGCGCCTCCTTTGATGTCCTCATTGGATGTAAGCCGCTGCAGCTCCTGCTCCAACTGCAATGCCTTGGCCTTTGCGTCCGTCCACGCCTGACGGATCGAGTGGGGCGGATGCGCCACATATGTGGCGTGCCAAACGCGCCACTTCTCTTCCAATTCATTCACCTTCTCCACCAAAGGCCCCCACAAGAGCTGTTGATGCGCCTCCGTGGCCGGAATCACGTTCACTCTGGAGGAAGCGGCGCTATTCCCAGCAGCGTCAGTGGAATTCGCCGAGTTCACAATAAACATGACGGCGGCCGCTGTCTCATTGCTGTTGAAGGAGACAACAGCACATCCCTCACCCGGAACACAATGCACGTTAAGAAAGAATGCGTTGGGTATTCGGCTGCAGATTGCTACCAGCTGTCGCTTCATCCCCTCTGGAGCGTAGTACTTCATGGGCAGATGCTCAAAGGTGACGCAATTGACAGAACAGACGGCACTTTCCGCAAACACACTGGGAAGTGTGGGCAATGTTGGGAAAATACTGCCACGCACCTGCATCGTCTCAGTTTCCTCCACCTCCTCAGTGCCAAAGCGGTAATCCTGCAGCACGGCATACAGCGACGTCTCCCTACGTCGCCTCTTCGTGGGACGCATGGTGTCCGCCTGTGTCTCTTCGGCCATTGTCGGCGGTGGAAGCTTTGGAACAACCCTTGCCAAGCCTGCAGTGAGGAGTTCCGCGATGGTGTCGAGTTGCGTCGGGTCCAACTCCAGACCACTAGCCCCATGTAAGCACTCATCCACGCTTTTTCTCAGCATGACAAGGTCCAGCGGGGCCTCCAGGGGCTCCTGGTGCGCCACGGCGTCACATGCATCACAGAGAGATGCAATCCACTTTCCCCGCGCCAACACTGCCGCTGTACCCACGTGCTCCTGCAGCACACGAAACACCACCTGACGCACCTGCAAGTAATACCTCGGGGGGTCATTTGGCAGCACTGTCTGTGGAGCACTGCGACCCCCCCTCCTGGTCTGTCGCCTCAGCACGCCTACGGCCCGTCGAGGCAGCGGCGATAACACCCTCGCAAGCCCGCTTCCCCCGCGCAAAGCGCCCATTACCGAACCCGCCCGAAGCACTCATGCCGCGTATCTAAAGAAGAGCTACACTGCAGCTACGCCGTGGACGTGAATGGAAGAGGGAAAAAAGGAGCAAAACCAAACAACCACAACTACTACACCACCCCCGCCTCTCATTTGTACAGAGACGCGTAAGAACAAGTCAGGGGGGACACTGAAAGCGTGTGTGGCAGGCAAAGTGACTAAATTATGCCCAAGCGTGAATGACACGCTAACGACATCAAACACCGCCCCCATACACATACACGCGCAGGTCCATAGCAGGAAAGGGGGAAGAGGCAGCAGCAGCAGCAGCAAGAAGGCGGAACACACACACAAAAAAAAAAAAAACAAGGCGGGAAAGGAAGAGAAACTAACCCCCTTTTCAGTAGGGCGAACCCGCTAAAAAGCAACCTGCAGAAGCAGCACATGCGAGAAAAGCGAGCCGCACCTCTCGCAGCAGAATTTGGTGCAGGAAGAGGAATATGATAAAGTGGCCTCCCAAAGCAATCCAGCAATAAACAACAATAAATGAGATAACGGGAAAAAAAAGTTTTTTTGTTTTGTTTTTTCTTCTTTCCTTCCTTCTGGCGGTAGTGTCATATGCATGCATGCATGCATGTGTTTATGTTTGTGCGTGCGTCCTTCTTTTTTGTTTTTCCTTCCTTCCCTCTGACG